TAACCCCATGTGACAGTTTGCAATTGGCTTGGTCAGACGGGACCCATGCAAGTTGACCAATTGCCAGCCGACACATGACGTTTGTGAGAGAAAGTTAGTGAGAAGTGTTTGTGACTGTAGTATTACTCTATCTCAAAACTATTCAACATCCCTTTTTAAATTGACTGATTTCAAAAATCATTTCAAAGAGTAAACAACTTTTTCCCACCCAAATAATGTCTTAACGACACTTTCCCACTTACAGACTTTTAAAATACCATTTTACTACCCAACTTTGTATTTCATTTTTGATTCTAGCATCTTTGCAACTCTACATCACCATCATTCTTTTCTCCAATCATCACTCACTAAAACCCCTCAAGCCCTACTCCCGTCTGTTAGTAAACGGTCCTGTATACGCAGCGGAAACAAAAATTAATATATAACAGGATCGTTTACATGAGCCAAGATCAAGGGTATAATTTTACAATTCATATTAAAGCAAGAATCTGCAGAAATTAATAATCTGTGTTTAGAAACCATACGCACGTTTGGAGGCTCCAACTGATTGTCTTTGAACGTTTTGCTACCGATCCAGTGTAGATCGAATCCACGTAGTCCACACGAAACAATCTCAAAAGAACAAAGAGGTATTGCTAGATCCTCTTTGGCTTCAAGATAAGAAGAAAAGAAATCAAATTGAATTGATTTAGGCCAAAAAGGTTTCTGGCGTGGGAAGGTAAGAGAGGCTGCTGTGTTTTTATTTTTCAAGAAAAATCAATTCACTTTATAATTACACACACTTTTTTTTTTATAGTAAAATAATCAAGTTGCCCTACCCCATACGGAATAGGCTTGGCTCCAACCCAAACGCCCCAGTTGCCAAACACTCCCAATTTGATTTATTTTATTCCATCATTATCTCAATTAAAATCAATTAATAATATTTAAATATATATTAACATTTAACAATAATGATAATATATTTAAATATGTGCGAACACACATTTAAACGTAATTTTACTTATTTAATTTTTCTAACAATTAAATAAGGCTACGACCTCACAAATTTAATTGCACTGTAAAATTACCAAAATACCCTTTCACCTTAAAGACGAAAACGTCCTCTTTCTTCTTGAGTCTTAATTGCTTCTATGTGTGTGACCCATAGGCTCCTCATCATATCGCGGTGTATAGTATCGCGATTAACACCAATTAATCTTCTCACTAATACACAGACCAAGATTGGCCCCTAGCAAGGCATCATGGCCACCCGATAGATTCGGATTCACAAAGTAGCTACCTGTCAACGATATGGTTACCGTGCAATTCGATCCTTTCATTATATGTTATCTCGACGAGACGAAGACATAGAAATTGTCAACCTTTGGTTACTCTCGATATTATTTATTCAGTTTCTGGACCAATGACCCGTATATAAACTGGATAAGCAATAACTCAATCCCACTGTGGCCACAGTTTAGTGTCATTGCCATATACTGAATTCCTGTGAGATAACTTTCTCCCATACCCCGGGAGTGACGAATCCTCTGTCAATCCAGCATAGTCTTGATACCCTCCTTGATGCAGCCAATCCCACCGTATTGACAGCTCTGAAAAGAACTGCGTTAGGCTGTGTCAACCTACACCAACGATACCAAGGCGCTCCGGTGATCTCAAATCTAAGGATCACATGCACCACCATTCGTTAGAGGATTTGTTCCATAGACACTGGGGTTACCATCCATATGGAATCCTCTGGTGGGTCAGTCCAGTGAACTTGCTACGGTATAATCGCCTACAGCAAACACCTATGTGTTGCACCAAGTTGTCACCAACACCTTGACAATGAGATCAGTCACTGCCTTTCGACGGGTCGTTCAACACTATGATAGCCTTACCGTATTACTGTGCCCTTACTTCAAATAATACTGGGCTACGGACGTTTCAGAAGGGCCACCATATTTGCTCATAGGGTTCTCACTATCAAGATTTGAAACACTTGATACCCTCGTCACGGTTCTACCATTCTAAGGACATATATCAATACATATGCATAATAATATTTACGCAATTAAGTATAAAATGTCTTTTTATGGATTAATGAACATTATTACAAAGAGTCAATCTACAATATTGATTGGCTCTAGGGCATCTACTCTAACACCGTTGACCCACCAATCATCGGTAATCGAGCGATTAGTTTCATACCGTCGCTCCCAAGTCAAATTCTGATCGATCCTAACTACCAAAATCCAACCTTCCGCCATCAAAAGATTATCGGCCTCCTTCTTCAAAAGTCTAACAGCTGAAACTATTTTGCTCTTTGTCCGCCGTCGAAATATAAATTTAGATAATAAAGTGATATTTAAAAAGTCTATGGGTAGAAAAGTGTCATTAAGTCATTATTTGGGTGGAAAAAAAAAAAGTTTGTTAACTCCATTTCAAATTATTAAAGTTATATATCACAACATGCCCAATGCAAAAATTAGAGATTAATTTCAACTAATTATATCCTCCTAACTTGTGCCGCATTCACATTATAGAAGGAGTGTATAATAGTGATCATGGATATGATAATCTTATTATCTCTAAAAGTCAAATTTTGTTTCCCAAAAGATAAAAGGAAGTTCGAGATAGAAAGAAAATGCCCCCGATAACTTTCATCTGAATGTATAGAAAGTGCAATTTAGATGTGATTCTTGATATTACAATCTCACTTTAGCTTTAAGGTTAACAATAATTATAAAAGAAAGAATGAGTTGTTCACAGATGATTCTAGAAGTTGAAGCAATTATATATTATATCTATATATGAAACTGATAAGTTATATATATTGAGCAAAGCAAAACCCACAGATGTTATTATTATTGTTGGTGGTGGGGTAATGGTTATAGTTGTGAGTTACTTTGTGCATGTGAATCCATCGCTGAATTTTCTTCATTTTGGATTCTTAAATTTAGGAAGACAAATCTGCTTTTGTCGCCACTACTTTTGTTTCTACTACAAGAAACACCCTTAATTCATGGCCTACTCAAGCTTACCAATGTCACGGATCATTGATTTCAAACCCTAAGATTTGCTTCATTATTTTTATCATTTAAAAATTAAGGGGACAAGAATGCAACATCTCGTGCACTTTTCTCTGTTCTTCCTTTCCTTCTTCCCTTGGCATTTCATGCAATAAAGGATTTCTCAATCACCATTACTGATCGCACATGGTTTTTTGAAGGCAGTATTGTCCCATCATGTATCTCAATTTCTACCTAAATAAATACAAAATCAAATCCAACTTGTGTCTAATTTGAGAGGTGTTTGATCTACGAGATTTATTTTTGAAAGTTGGAATGTTCTTTTCTTGATGACTTTATGGGAATGGGACCCTAACCCTAACATAATGTACAACTCCACAGTGGAATTTATTTGTATTTAATGAGGCACAGTAACTAATTGACAAATTTTGTATTAATTGATAGAAGATAATTTCATTGTCATTTTTAATCATACATTGCATCCATCCTCCCAAACAAAACCAGCTCCAAACAATTGTCAGTTTCTATGCATTTCCAAAATGTAACAATCTTTGAAAATGCAAAATATAATATAAAGAGTAAACGACTTTTTCCCACCCAGCGTTTGTCTTAGTGACACTTTTCCACCCAAACGGTTTTAAAATACCATTCTCCCACCCAAAGTTTACATTTCATTAATACCTAAAATACACTTCAATTTCTCAGCTGACGTTCGACAAGTTGCCAAGAGCCAACTTAAGAGAGGATTTTGTAGAGTGGAGGCTGGTGGATTGAATGATAGTTGACCGATTGAATATTCTATGCCGGAATTAGTTGGAAATCAACTTATAAGAACAGAAAACCCTAACTTTGCGGTGGTCGACAATCGGTCAGAAATCAGGTGTCAGAATAAGAGGGGTTTCGTACAGAAGAGACCAAGGTGGTGACGGAGAGAATTGTAGCCGTCGAAATCGGTTGGAATCAGCTTTGGGTAATAACGGAATATTAACCTTGGGTGAAAAAGTAATATTTTGAAATTTTTTGAATAGGAAAGTGTCATTAAGGCAAACCTGGGTGGGAAAAAGTCGTTTACTCTAATATAAAATTAAAACCATTCATGTTCCAACCGGTTTTAAGAGCTATTTATTATAACTGTCAATCCCATTATGCCATTAAAATGAACCTGCGACAAAATTAAGTTAGAAGAGACAACTACTTGTTACAAACTGAGAATCCTTGCTGGCCTCTCAGAATTTTTTTTTTTTTGGGGGGAGGGATTTTTGTCTCTCTCAATTCTTCCAATTGAATCTGGTAAAAAGTATAGATGAGTTGGCGTCTGGATTAGTTAATTTTATTGATCAAATCAACTGGTGTGTATATTTATATTCCCAATTTTGAAGGGATGTTTTCTTGACTGCATTACAAACTTGAAATCAATTAAAAGATGACAACACAAAAAACAATTCATTGTTGTTGTTGTTGTTTTATTAATCTTAAAAGTTTATAGGTATCTGATAATCTATATAATCAAACATAAAATGTGTCGTGTAATGTAGAAAGATCAGTAAATTGTCAGTTAACTATGAGTAAGAGGGAACCAAGTTTAACAAAAAAGTTGACCGATGAGTCAGGAACGGGGATTCTTCTTAACAGATAACAACAAACCCTTTTTTTTTTTAAATTAATTAATCAGTTGGTTCTGGGATTAGGTTAATTAATCAAGTATTATCTATGGACTTGCCTCTTTTGTTTGCCTGAGTGGTCCCTAATTGTCTACATTTCATTGTCCCATGCAAATTGATCTTCTAAGATCATAAGTTAATATAAATAAATAAATGATCTCTACCACAGCCTGGCTCCATTTCCAACCCAGTTGATTATTTGCTTCGTTAGCCATTGTTACACAGTTGAGCTCTATTGAAAAGACTACAATGTTTGCACATAATTGTTAAGAAGTGAAACAGTGAAATATAAAATATAAAATTTTTTTTTTTTTTTTTTTTTGTTTCTTTAATATTTAACTGCATCTTACAATTGCCTTATGTTTTCTGTGTATCAACAGTATTAGTGCAGTTTCTGTATATAACTATATAACATCCGTAACTTCCCATAAAATGTTTACTTGGTCACCTCAATCCACCTCAACCTATCCTAGTATTATCTACTGTCCACGTACCAAATTAATATTCTATCACATAATTATTTCAGTGTCTATAGGAATAGAAGCCTCAGAGCTCAGTGTGAATGATATCGTCTGTTATGACTTCTGCTAGCTCGGCATATTTGTCCTCGGAACTAATGTCATCTGTTATGGGTTCTGCTAGCTCAGCATCTTTGTTGTCCTGGGAACTTAGGCAGTCTGCCGAAGGATGCACAAAGCCATACCCGAAACCTTGGGCAGAATTGCAGTAGGTCTCAACTGTTCCATCCTTCTTCTCTAAGTTGACATTGCTCAAGACTATGCTGCTGCAGGGGACAGTGTCACTACAGGCGAATTTCATCGCTTTCGAGCTCTTTGTAGTCCCAGTAATGTTCCGGTACATGATCTCACTTATTTTCACAGCTGATGTCTGGAAAATCAAGAAAAAACAAGAGTTCACAATTTTCAGGATTCTGATTGGATGACTAAGATGGTTATCACAAGTTTGCTGAGTTGAGACTCCCTTGTTTCTATTACCACTAAGTGGCTTTTAGAGGTGATAAAAGGGAAACTGGAGAAAGTACCTGATTCTGACAGGCTGTTGGGGAATCACAGTAGAACTGATCAATAATTATGGGATTTGCTACATCTTCCATCCTGACATTTTCAAAACGTACCCCATGAACATAACCCGAACCTCCCTGGAGCATAGAACCATAAAGAAAGTGATTTATGCCAGTTTCAAAGAGAAAATTACCTTAATAGCAGTTAAGATGAGTTTTATATTTTTGACATGTAACCCTATGAACTGTGTTCTATCTACAACGATTGAATTCCGACAAAAAAAAAGGTGCATAGAGCAACGAAAGGGCTCTTTTGCATCTCTAAGGCATAATAACAAACAACAACTTTTTGCAATAGAATTTAAAAATAAAATAATAAACAACCTTCAAATTTGAACTTGAAACAACATTCAAACACCATCATTACCACTCACTCAAAAGAGTTACTAAGTCACTTAGATGGACATGATGTAGAAAACAGTCTCTTTTCAGGTTTAGACAGTTGAAGTCCCATTTGATCTTATTCTATTATCTCTTCCAAAGTAGGTAATTTGGTAATGTCGTAATACATCATACTGATGTTGATCATTTGCTCATTGTGATAAAAAAATATATTACCTGCCAAGTCTTAATCCTGAGGCCATTAGTAGTTTCCCTAAGGAATGCTGTATCCAAGACCACTTTTGTGACTATGCCTGTCGAGTTGTCCTTCCCAAGGCTTCCAATACTAAGAAGTAGAATTTCACAGAAAAATTAAGAAAAGAAAAAATAGAGATAAAATTTGAGTTTCAGCTTTCTATGCTGAGGGACAGAATACTGATTAAATTCTGCCCGTGTATCTTTAACAAATGGAATATCAAACTACACATACCTGACTCCATGTCCTGGTCCACAATAAATTCTCTTCATTTTGATAGCAGAGCTACCATTGACAATTGAAATGCAATCATCACCTGAATGTAACACAAAGAATCACCATGAAAGAACAACCTGTCAGAATGCTTCAGCATGATATCAATGGGAAGACCTTGGTGCACCTTTTATTTACAAAGATTTGTTATATGTGTAAGAATTGTGTGCATGATTTGTATAGAAGGCACCATTTCAGCTGTCCTTTGGATATTTTTCCCAACATGATGTGCTCTTTTGGCCCTTTTGATGACTAAAACTAGTAAACCTTAACCATCATTTGTCTTCTATAGCCATTTTAGTTATCATCATTTGCAAAATGAGATAAGAAGAGTGTTCTAACCTGTTCCAATTTTGCAGTCTTGGAGTATAACATTAGTGGAATCTGAGATATGGATTCCATCAGTGTTTGGACTGTCTCCAGGAGCTGAGACTAGTACTTCAGATATTCTCACAGATTGACACCGGGAAATGACAAAATTCATCTGTTGGCTGTTCTGAATAGTAAGGCCTTTTACGCTTACAGCTGAGCTCGAATCTATAGTCAATGCCTGCAGCAAACTCTTATATTAAATCTCACTCACCATATATGACGTGGTAGTTCTAGTCCGACGTGCTTTTTTTATGTATTGTTTTAAAGCAAAAATAAAACAATGAAGGAGAGATCCTTACTGTTGGTGCCCCTCTGCAAGGCTGTAAACAAGGAAGATGGGACAATACATGTTAAACTTTATCTTTTGGTTGAAGAACAGAATGGAAGATATATAGAGTAAATGCAGAACAATTACATTTGACTTGTTCTTTTTGCAAGACGCAGCCCACCATTGACTGCCCGAGCCATCAATGACTCCACCCCCCTGGAAAAGGACCCCTTTCAGCTTTGAGAAATCAAGCCAGAGTCGTGAGAGATTTGGATCCCAGTTTTTAGGCTCATCTGGGGCGACTATTGTTCCATCAATCTGTATAGCAAAAATAATAACGTTAGAGGTAGTAATGCTGATGCTATACAATCATCATCAATAAGGATATTAGTATTGAATGATAGTGTTGATGAAAATTTGTACTGCAGATACTTAATATGTTAAATAAATATATATATGCTTGATTTGATAGATATTGAAGAATACCTGAATGACCAAACTATCAGCACATGGCCCCTGAAATCTTGTTGCATTAATTAAATAACGGCGTCCTGGAGGAACCAAGAAAACTGACTGTCGTGTGGAGCAGGCTGTGTTCCACGCATTTTTGAAGGCCTGATGATAATAAATAACATTGTAGAAGATCAAATGCTAACTTACAATAGAAGAAAGAGCATAAGAGCAAACTGTAGTTGATGAAGAATAACAAGAAGAAAACAATGCCGACAGTTAAAGCTATGAAATCAGAACCACTGCTTTTCTGACACATTTATGTTCAGAATAAATCAACCTTTTATATCATGTCAACTTGTAATTTATTCAAGTGCAAAACATGTTTTTTAAGATTTAATTTAAAAACACAAGCATGCACCTGGGTGTCATCAGCCACTCCATCTCCAACAGCTCCAAAGCTATCCACATTTACAAGAACCTTGCTACCGCGGTCACTTGTCCATGATGGCATATCAACAAGTTCCACCTCATCGTCTTCTTCAATGTCCAGGTTCTCAAGCTCCCCAGGCACGGCAATATTGTCAAGTACCATGTTTCCTGCAGCTGCATGGGCTGCTATTAGTAAACCAAAAATGGAAACCATGAAGAATTTATCCATGTTTTTTTTCTTCTGTTCTTGTTTTTCCGCAAGATTTGGTTGATTTGTACAAATCTAATGGACATATTGGATTTTAATTTATAAGTGCACATTAGTTTTGAAAATTAAGGGATTTGTGGGCTATATGGCTTTGCTTAAAAGTAGATGAAGGTGCTGCAATTTGTACATGCCTACACTTAAAGTACAAGGGAAATTTTTTTTTTTTTGTATTTCTTTGCTTTACTCTTCAACCAGTGCACAAATATTTCACCAGTCAAAAGTGTTCATGGGCTGTGTCTGGCTTTTGCTGTCTCCCCCGGTCAGATAAAATGGATAAAAGAAGTATTGTGAAGGAATTTTTTCTAGACAATCTGAGTTCTTTAATTGTAAAAAAAAAAAATATATATATATATATATTATTTGTGTTTCCAGTGCTAGTATCCAGCAATGCAATCAATTTTCATTTAAATATAGAAGAAAAGTTCAATAGATTAGTTAGACCAAACGGAACAACAGAAAAGCAGATCCTCTTTGTCCACTACATGCATGCTAAGGCCAAGGCTTCAAGGAAAATTAATAAACCTTTCCATTCTAGTCCAGTGCAGGAGAAGTAAACTTCACAGACACGGCTCAGCTTGTTCCCAGCCTTCGTTTAAATGATTAAAACTTCTTCTATGTGACAGGGCAGTCTCCTGAGATGGAAGATGAGGTGCTTAGTGCTTGGTTTCGCCGCGGATACCATATCCTGCAAGTTCATATCGCCAGCTAATGTTTGAGGTACATAATACAACTTCTTGAAAACAAATCTGAAACACCATATACAAGTCTTGGGCTACAGGGCTAGCCATGAATTTCTTTGATCGGTATAGTATGGAATACTAATGGAAATTGTTTACTTCAATTAAACTATGACCGATGTCCCACGTCACTTTTCTTGCCACAGCAACCTCTCTAATTTGCATTGACAATTCAAATTCCCCTATTTCTGAATAAAAGTTCGACACTTGCAAATAAACAGCAAAATCCTTCGGCTCAAGCTCCATCAAGTTTTTTGCTATTCTTCTTCCCACAATTTCATTGCCGTGAACCCTACAACTACGCAGCAATGAACTCCATATTACACAATCGCCCTTTCCTGGTGTCTGCAGCAGCAACTCTTCAGCTTCATTTAGCAGACCTGCACGGCCTAACAGATCTATCATGCATGAATAATGCCGCCGCTCTGGTTCGATGCCATAAATAGATCTCATTGAGTTAAACACCATGCGTCCTTCTTTTACCATCCCTGAATGATTGCATCCTGAGAGCACACACAGAAAGGTTACTTCATCAGGAGTCACACCCTTTTGAATCATTGCTTCCAGCATGTCAAGGCATTCTCTTCCCATTCCATTCCGAGCATATCCATTAATAATTGACGTGAAACAGACAACATTTGGCGATGGAATTTTGTCAAAAACTTGTTGAGAAAGTTCAACATGACCGCATCTTGAATATGCATCTATTAAAGAACATGATACAGCAGTTTCATATTCAAAACCAGCCTTTATTGCAACACAGTGCAGCAATCTGCAGCTACTCATGTTTGCCCAAGCAGATACTGATAGGGCTTTCAGTGTCGTGGACAAACTAACCTCATCAAATCCAACTCCTTCATCGACCATCAAACCAAACATCTCAATTGCATCCAAAATGATTCCACAGTGTAAAAAAGAAGTCATTAATGAGTTACAACACTCCAAAGTTCGCTCAGGAACAGCCTCAAATATAGCCACTGAACTCCCAATGTCATTGCACTTCCCATACATATCAATCAAAGCAGATTGAATATGGACGCTCCTGTGATCAAAACCCATTTTCAAAATATAACAATGAATCTGTTTCCCAAAATCAATATTCCCAGTCCCACTAGCTAAATTCAAGAACCCGATGAATGAACGTATTGATGGCCTCTTCCTCCAAAATTGCATCCTAGAAAACAATTCAACAGCATCAAATACTAAACCATGATCAGCAAAAACTGAAACAATTGAATTCCATGAAATAACGTCACCCGCCGAAATAACCTCAAATGATTTTCTCGCATCTGTCAAACACCCACAAGCAGAATAAAAATCTACCAAGGAATTGGCAACAAAAGTACTCATATCCACCCAACCAAGCTTAATCATATCACAATGTAGTTGCCTCCCTTCACTAAGAAACCTCTTATTACTACACCCACGAATCACATAACAAAAACTCAGCTGATTTGGCCCCACACCAATAAATTTCATTTCACCATATAATCTTAACAGCTCATCTGACCGATTCACTTCACAAAACCATCGTAACATCAAATTCCACGTCGCTAAGTTTCTTTCAGGCAATTCATCAAACAATCTCAAAGCTTTATCATCGAATCCCATGCGCATATAAAGATCAATAAGTGCACTGCCAATATATAAATTCCTTTCAAATCCAAGAGAAACCAGTCTACAATGAACTTGCATTCCTTCTTCGTAGAACCCGAAATTGCTACAAATACTTGTAACAGAAGAAAATGTGGAGGCACTTTCTTTTATTCCATGTGAAACCATTTCATTATAAAGAAAAAGAGCCTGTTTCGGGTTCCCATATTTACCATGCCCCGATATTAGCAAGTTGTAAGTAACAACATCACCAATACGCATTTCATCGAACAGTTTCTGGGCAGAGCTCAACTCACCAGATTTTATTAAACCATCAATTTCTTGGTTTTTGTAGTACGTATACAGTTGAGGATCGGGCTCACAATACGAATCTAATAACAAAGGTGAGGTTCGGGAAACAATAGTTCTACCCTTTGGTGTTAAGGATGTTATAGTGCGGATTAATTTATTGCTTAGCATTAGTTTTGGGGTGAATTTCACAGATTACTAACTAGGTATACCATCGGCTTTTAAAGGGTACGGAACTTTTTATTTTTTATTTTTCTTTCTTCTCAACCAAAAGAGACAAGGAAATTGTTCCAATGGTGGCTTCTGCAGACGTACTCTTAGTATTCAAGACCAAATATGTTAGACCGTCACACAAAATGGGTACCACTGAATCCATAGCTACTCCCCAGTCCACCAACCCATTGACAATTCTCTCTTATTTGCAATTTTCTCCTTCAATTGACAGTGAACTTACCTTAAAACTTTCCAATATAATAGTGAAACTGAAACTTCTTGTACTTTTCCCCTTTTTTTTATGTCATCCGCACTGAAACAGAAGTAGCATTGATTCCTCAATCTTTTGCGCTAAGGCAACAATAGGAGGACCGGCCTTCTAGAGTTTGTTGCATCCAGGGCCCATCATGATAATATAATTCAACCCCTGAATGGTTCGTGGTGGGTACACACTACACACAATCCTCTTGCTCTTGCGTGCAGAAAACACATTGCGTTAAATTTCAAGAAGACTTGCCGCAGTCCCACAAAATATTCTCATCCACCTGAAAGTAGTTTTTTTTTTTATTATTATTATTATTATTATTTTAATTAGACAGAACCCTATGGTCAAATTTTGGCAGTTTCATCCTTCCGATATTCCATAGAAAAAAACGTAACTAAGAGAAACAGCAAGAAAAATAATAAACAGGCTAAATTGCGATGACAGTAGGTCAATCAGTTCCTTATAAAACCAAGCAGCAGTGCAGAGGTCTTAAGGAATATTTATTTTATAATTTTATTGATATGGTAACATAAATGCAGCAGCAGATGACTGACAGGCATGGACATTCAAATACTCATACAGATCAACAATATTAACATGTTGATGCAATAGCCTCCAGAAGGGAAGCTGCAAATTGCATTTGGGTTTCTTCATCAATTTTTGAGAAGAGAGGAACATGTACAAATAGAGATTTGTGGCAATTCTGCTCGGCGAACCGAAGAGAGTGATAGTAGACATAATTGCATACAAAACGACCTGCATCATTTGATATAGCGACATCATAGCCCCCCTTCTTCAAGAACTTCAGGATTGCCCCAGTGGAGCAAGTAGTCTTCAAGAACCAAAGATGAAAATGTTAACATACGCATTGGAAAAGAGATAGACATGATGGATGGCTATGCAGAGCAAACAGATGCTACAATGTGTCCAAACGGTGAGTATAATGTTAAGCAAGTACAATGATTATTGTGTTGATTAAACTCACAAGATTTATAAAGACAAATTATTCATGGTATCCAAAGGCCAAGTCAATTACTGTAAAGTTTTCACATTTGAGACTTTAGATTAAATCCAGCCCAACTAGTGCAGCTACATTTTCTATCTCCACTTTTACATGTAAGTTCATCCTACTCCCTCTTCGTTTAAAAAGCATATTCTTAGTTTATTAGACTACATCATAATTAAAAATACATCTATAGTAACGAATGGCATTTTGTATCATTGTGCTTCTCTAAATTCAAATGTTTAAACAATTGCATAAAGGCAATGGTAAAAGATAAAGTTAAACACTAAACCCTCAATCTAATTATTTGTTAAAATACTGAAAATAAAATTAAATGGTTAAAAAATAGAAATGGTACCTGGGAGAGCAATAGTGATCAAGTGAATTTGCTGATTTATAGTATAATCCAACAAAAACTTTATGAAAATGCTGTTGAATATATTTTGGCAATACCCATTTTCTAATGTCTCACAAGAAACGATGGTGTTGGGGGATATGTACAAGTGTTTAAGGATGAAAGGTGTTGCTTAAATTACCTCTCTTGTCCGGGAGATTCCTCCATCTTCAGGGACTATTGGAACTTGCTGAAAAACAGCCCAAGCGAAATCAGTATAGTAGATTTTAAGGTAGTTTAATCAGCAACACCCAGGAGTGTATTTATCTCTTTTACAATGGAGGGTTTTCACATGTTTGAATTTACAGAAATAAACTAACCAAAAAAGACTTTATGTTATAGATTTGCAAGGCTACTAAATCATAATTGCAACTCTAAAAAGGAGAGACCTTGATAAAAGGGTAGAGGAGAAAAGCTCTTTAGATGAAAGGAGGAAGCAAATTTACCTTAGGTTGCCATCCTAGTTCATCTGGACAACAGAAACTGGCTTCATTTACTGCCTGCTGCTCAATGGCAAACTTTGAAGCCCCACCATTCACCCCAAAATGAAGCTGAAAAACGATAAAATTGAATCTCTTAGATCACCAATGCTTAACCCAAAAAAACTACACACTATCAGCAGCATCCCTTCTTATATATCAATTTCCTGTGTTTAAGACAAACTAAACCTCCATTTCCGATTAACTATTAAAGAACCAAGGGTAAATATTAAGAGAAAGCTAAGCAATGGTTATAAATTTCATCTTATGCCTAAAAATTCAATTACTTTAATGTCAAATCTCACACCACACAAGTAGCTAATGTAGCAAACATGAAGTAGACAGACAACTCACAACAGTTCAAGATCAAATGCAACGGAAATAGAGAAGAAAATTGGAAAATAAAAAATTAGGAGATACTATTGAGTAAAATAATCAAAGTATGCATGAAAAAAGACAAATTTCATCAGATTTTTCATGTCCGATTCAATTTGAAATTTTCAGGTCAGCCTCATATCTAACATATCGCTGAAGGCATCCTGAGAACTCTCATGAATAATTAATTTTTTTGGAGCTGCCAAGTTAAAACTGCTACAACTTTGCCTCATTGAATTATTGTAACCAGTTCATAGGCCCCAGGAATCCAGGACAGATGCTCTTAGGAAACCATTTAATTCTGCAAGGTAAATTTGCATAAGTTTCTAATTTGCACAAGTTTCTTTTTATCACATCAACCATAAATTTCAAAATATTAGTGATTTTCAAAACCATTTAAAGTTGCATGAAGAAGCTAACCCATAATACTTGTTCATTGTGAGATGGGATCCCTGATTCAAAGATCTTGTAAAGCACTGGAAGTGCACCTTCACCAGCAGTCTCAAGAACAGTGCAACTCCCTAAAGTAATGCCAGCAGGCAATCCTCTTCTTTCAACAAAACCCTTTAGGTTATTAACTATGATCTCTGTAGGATTTTCAGCAACTCCTTGAAACTTCTTAAATCCAGTTACATGAATAGTTACAGCATTCGGTGCTTCAGATCCCATCTCCTCACTCTGGACTAGTATGCAGTTCCCAATTTTTGATGGATGCTGTCAGTAAATCCTGTCACTGGACCAACCCCCCAACCTTTTGGAAACAACAAAAACAAGCAAGAAAGAACTATGATTAGTTTTCTTATATAATACACATAATAGCCCAGTATGCAGGTATACTTTTATTTGACCACATTTTGCATCAATAACAAGACTGCCGAATGCATAACTTCCAACACTGAGCCTCAACACAGTCCTAACCTACTACATTTCCAATGAGGATCACCCATAATAGCCCAAGATTCACTTCTTAGTACCTAACAATTGCCCCTTCCCCTTCCCCAACCAAAAAAATAAATACATAAAAATGGATTGCTTATATACAATAACTAGGAAGAGTGCTTGAAGAACTTGGGTTAAAACAGAGGAGCGACTTCAATCCTTTTTAATTTTTCCATGAAAAAAAAAATCAGCATTTATACCATTCACTCTCATGTTATAAGGGAAAGGAATTCAATGCTCAAATATGCATTCAAATGGAGCTTATTATTTTTCTTCATACTAGATCCTTTTTTTCTGTTTGCCATGTAAACAGGGGGCCAATAACTCAGAACAATGGAATATCTGGATGTAGCTTCATTCCAGTTTTAAAAAGAATTAGACATTCACTCCACATGCCACGCTCACCATATACTCATAACACAAACCACGCCTCCCACTCAAACAATTGCACTAACTTAAACCATAGCCATATCATAAGAGAATTCTCCCACATATGCCACTTTGAATTTCTAAAAACAGGAAAAAGCTTTGCAATTAAAGTTATGAATGGTAAAATAGATGCAATTTCAGACCTATAACAACTCATCCACCACCCCTTCACCTAGTAGTAAAATCTTTCTTTTTTTTTAACATTAATCATATGCTACACCCTGAAAATTATATCCATCACAATTAAAAAAAAAATCCATAAAAAGAAAATGAAGAAGAAATATACAACAGCTTAGCAACATAAAATCAAACAATTGAAGAAAACATCAAAAGGATTATAACTGAATTTAAGTTAGTTCAGCATCATCTAAACACAACAGCTTGATTTGACCGTTAATTAAATTGAAAGCAGTTAGAAGTTGAGTTTGAAGAAGATTATTACCTGGATATCCAAGCCGGCGACGACTGGGCTGAGTGAGAATCTTTTGCTCTCTTCCTCTTATTGGCTTTCACACACAAAATTGTAAGGAAATGCCCTTGGGTGGATGGTTAATAACGAAACCTACCATCGTTTCTGTCAGAATTCGACGATTAAAAATACAAGATACCCGCCGCCAAAAGCATTGGCGGTGAGGTTTGTCGTTATATGAATCATAGTGGCTAACGACAAAACGTGGCGTAATCCCATTGGTCGAAAGCATTTGAAACTTAAATAAATGGTCCCATGATATCATTAAGAATGTAAATTTATAATATTATAAATTAATTTAATATTCACTTAAATCTAATTAAATATTTCGTTCTTATCTATTGGTTGAACATTCTTTTTTTTTTAACTTAACATGAATGTTCACACTATGGTATTATTTTCTTTTAAACAATATATTAAAGTTTAAATCTGAACTATTATGAAATGAAATAATAAATGAAATAAGTTTTAGTAATTTACTAATTTACAAATAAATTAAAGAGAGTAAGAAAAATAAGAAAAAAATAGTAAATATTCACATTTAGGCTTTAGGGTAGCTAACATATATATAAGAAGCGTAATATTACGGACACCAAAATTTTACACTGAATTTTTATTTCGAAGGATATGGTAACCAGTCAGACACGACTACATTGAAATCTTTCGTGAATGAACGGTTGTCCAACATTTATGGACTCTCACCCATATTTAATGAACTTCCGTTTATATTATATGGACGAGTGTTCATTTATTGTGGATTCCCGTTCAAAAAAAATTAAAAGAAAAATAATAGACGTCCATCCATCTTATATGGACGAGTGTCCATTTACTAGCCCATCCAAAAAAAATTAAAAGCAAAATAATAGGCGTCCGTGATCATTAAAGGGTCGTTCACCTATAATGGACACCCGTTCATGAGAAAATAACAATGGACTCTTGTTCATATAATATGGACGGGAGTCCATTTACTATAGACGGGCGTTGACCTAGAATGGATGCTCGTCCATTGTTTAAAAAAAAAAATTAAAACAAAAATTATGAACGTTTGTCCATATATTATATGGACATGCGTCCCTTTTAGATGGACGTCTGTCCATTGTTTGATTTAAAAAATTTTACAACATTTGAGTTTGTAAATGTCCTATCTTCATTAAATTCTTGTCTATATTTAAAGTAATTGGACAAGTGTCATAAGAATAAGACATTAAATTTTTGTCTATATTCAAAGTAATTGGACAAGTGTCATAAAAATAAGGCACTAACTCAATTAGGATTCACAATTAATGCATTAAATAAATTTAAAATTTAGAATTTGTTAATATTAAAAGATGGAACGGTTGTCCTCATAAGAGGACAGGCGTCCATAAATAATTTAGGCCAAATTTTTTTAGTTTAAACTATGAACAAGCGTCAATTCTAGATGGACGGCCGTCCATATAATATGGACAAGAGTTCATTTCAAATGAACGGCCGTCCAATAACAATGGACAGTCGTCCATATTTGATGGACTACCGTTCATTTGTGGAATATTTGTTAATGTGATACGTGACTCGTCTGATTCAATAGACACATTGTTCGGTGTAAAAATTTGGTGCAAAGCGTCAGTGTCCGTAACATTTTTCATATAAGAAAGGGTTGGGCAACCCTTTTTTTCACACAATTTTTGGCAAAGTTTGTATCCATTAAATTAAATTAAAATGAATAGTCAATATGGAAATGATGTGAAATTACATACGCATTAAATTAATTTATATTAATAATCTCTTTCATATTTATCTACACAATCTTTTTCCTCTTATTAATTATACAAAATCTCTCTCTCTCTCATATTCCTTCTCCACACCCCAAACAATGAAATTTGGTTTTGGCTTTGTGGTTGATTATGTTTTTCAGCTTTTATTTTGTGTTTTATATCAATCAAAGGGTAACTTTTGTTCTTTCAGTGTATCTAGAATCCATAAAGATGCAACTTTTTTATTTATTTTGAGATAATAGGTCTTGATGTTGTGATAACGAGAGTTATGTCATTGATATCGTTAGAATTATGTCGGAAGCTTGCATGATTCTAATGGATCAACAATGAACTAATGCGATTATATGAGTGCAGTAAATAAACACAGACCACAAAGTTATGTATTGAGAGTATTTGCGATTTGAATTACAAAGATTTATCTTAAGTTTCCTCTCGAGTTTTGTCTTTTTCTTAGCCTAATCGTCTTTCTCTTTGTATACTTTTTCCATCCCCTCAAAACATATTAGGGTTGGGTTTATATAACACATGTTATAAGTTCGAATTGAAAATAAACACATAATCATTAAAACAGGAAAACGACTTGATCTTTGGCTTTGATTCAGGAGTCCATATCGCATGATATCTCTTTGCCAAAGTTGAAATTATCCTTTCCTGATTGGAAACTATTCTTTCCAGATTTACCACACATCAACAAGTCTAGTAGATCGAAATACCAAGATATTTCCTAATTAGATTGTTAAAATACAAGATATTAATAAAAAACAAAAATAGGATATATGTTCTAGTACAACTAAAGCTTTCTATGCCTAATTACATGAAAAGAGATAAATTTATACGTGTTATTTGACTCATTTATTTAGACTTGTTATTTAAATATAACATGTTAAATCTATAAAATTCTAATTATGAGTACAATAAATTTCACTTAACAAAAGTTTTTTTGTTTTTCTAATCGTATAATATTTTTATATATCTTTCAAGTCATGAACTTGTTTGTTTACTCACTTTTAAAGTTAATATTTCATTTTTAAAAAAAGTTATAGGTTAAAAGAGAGTGTATGTTGAGAGAGAGATCTGGAGTGTAGACTGTAGAGAATGAATATGGGAGAGAGAAATTTTGTATAATTATTGAGAGGAGGGAGATTTTGTACGATCGATGAGGAGTTAGATTTTTTACCATTAACGAAAGAAGAGATTGCATTGATAAATAAGAAAAATATTTTAGCATAAATTAATTTTATAAATAAGCAATTTCATCTCATTCCTATCTTCACCATTCGTTTAGTTTAATACATAGTTAGTAAATACGGGTACGGTAAAAAAACGGTACGGAAATTTTACGGGAATGATACGGCAAACGGTGAAAAATACGTTTATAAAAATTCGGCCTTAAAATTCGGATACGGGAAAAATATGATACGGGTATATACGGGTTTAATACGGTATATTGTCAATAATACGTTTTGAAAAATACGGTAATATTAATCCTGATTTTAGTATTTTTTATGATCATTGAATTAATTATTCTCTATTTTTCTTTATAGGTGTATGATTTATATTTTTTTAATTATAATATTTTAGTTTATTATTACAAATATTATAGAAGTGATCAATTATTAAATAAAACAAATAATTTTATTTGTTTTTTAAGTTGAAGAAGAAGAAGAAGATAAGACAAAAAGTGGTGTTTGTTGAAGAATAGTTGAAGAGGAAGAGAGGTAGACTGGTAGAGACGCCAAAAAAGAGAAGAAAAGAGAAAGAGGGAACAAAAAAAGAGAAGAAGAAAGAAGAGGGCGCCAAAAGAAAGAAAGGAGGCCAAAAGAGAGAAAGAGAAAGAAGCGGGCGCAGAAAAGGGCAGAAAAGGTGTCAAAAAGAGACTGATATCGCGCTTAAAAGACTGAGCATAAAACGACATCGTTTTGATTAAATTTCATCTAAAACGACGTAAGAGAGAAAGAGAAAGAAGCGGGCGCAGAAAAGGGCAGAAAAGGTGTCAAAAAGAGACTGATATCGCGCTTAAAAGACTGAGCATAAAACGACATCGTTTTGATTAAATTTCATCTAAAACGACGTAAGAGAGAAAGAGAAAGAAGCGGGCGCAGAAAAGGGCAGAAAAGGTGTCAAAAAGAGACTGATATCGCGCTTAAAAGACTGAGCATAAAACGACATCGTTTTGATTAAATTTCATCTAAAACGACGTAAGAGAGAAAGAGAAAGAAGCGGGCGCAGAAAAGGGCAGAAAAGGTGTCAAAAAGAGACTGATATCGCGCTTAAAAGACTGAGCATAAAACGACATCGTTTTGATTAAATTTCATCTAAAACGACAAAAGAGAGAAAGAGAAAGAAGCGGGCGCAGAAAAGGGCAGAAAAGGTGTCAAAAAGAGACTGATATCGCGCTTAAAAGACTGAGCATAAAACGACATCGTTTTGATTAAATTTCATCTAAAACGACGTCGTTTTGGCTCAGTAAATAATAAAATTTTATTTTTAAAAATACGGCTGAATTATACGGGAATTATACGCGAATTATACGGCTAAGGCATATAATTCGTGTATAATTCGACTGTGCTTATAGAATACGGGAATTCTCGTTTTATACGGGAATTATACGGTTGGGCGTATAATTCGCGTATAAAACGCGAATTTACTAACAGGGGACTTTAATATAAGGGATAAAAGTATGTGTCTTTTAGATTAAACGAGAGGAGGTGGAAAGAATATTTTAACATATTCCTATAATTAATTTATATAAATATAATAAAAATAAAAAAATCTCTCTTCTCATTACTACAAATCATCTCTCTCTTCTATATTCTCTTTTTCACAATATAGCTAAAAATTATTTAATGTATCTTGAATATGTAAGGATACTATTTTTACTTAATATTTTTTACAAATAAAAATTAAAGCAATCATATTGATCCTAAAACATATGTTTTTAATGTTGAATAACTTCACAAATTAACAATAAAAACTAGGCATAGAAAGCTTTAGTTGTACCAAAACATAATCCCATTTTTTATTACTATCTTGAAGTTGAACAATTTAATTTTGGTACACCTTGCTATTTCAAATAAAAAATAGCATCCCTACATATTCAAGATACAATAAAAAGTTTTAAAAGAGAGGTTTTGAGGATTATGCTTAGAAAATCTTCCTACAAAATGTAAGTATATATAACTAATTCAGGTTTGAAATGATATTTTTCGGGTTTTTATTTTTAATTATAGGAGGATTTTTAATACATTTTGTCGAATAACCACAATCCAATATATTTATATCATATTAGGGCGTGTTTAATTGGTTGAGGGGAATGTCAAATAACTCCAATAATGTCATCTTATATTATTGACATTACCATGTTTGATTATCA